TACAACCACCCCTTCAACTATGAATCTTCTTACACGTCCACCCTTATGATGTCAAATTCAACATAATCTTCTAGATTCCGTTGAATGTTCTCTAGTTTGTACTCGTTTTGTGCAAAATACAGTGTATGATGCATCTTTATGGGGGTTTTTGCGCATATAATACCCGTTTTGGGGTCTTTGGAAACATTTTTTTTTTCTCAAACGGGTGCCAATTTGGGGCCCTTTTTTCCGAATTTAGGTGTTTATTTTAATTTGGGCCCCTTAGGGGGGGGTGTAAGAAAAATTCCTGGTTGGGGGGTGGATGTATTTTTCCAACAGAGGGGGGGTTTTTGTAATTTGACCATACCTCAGGGGGGTGTTTGTAATTTACCCTATTTTATTTGATCATTCATATTACACAATAACTAGCAACTTATTTTATGTAAAATTATATATATATATATATATATATATATATTATAATAATAATAATAATAATCAATAAAACGAGGAAGAAAAAAAATGTTTGTAGAAGACAAAGGGAAACTAATAACATGAATAATTGGTAGTTTCTCAGCAAAAATTGGATGAATAAAAGCGAGATGAATTTTCCAATGTCCATTTATGTGATGTTTTCATTTTTTTGTATGGAGAAATATAATTCAATACGTATTGATCTCAATCAAAGATCGTATTTTCAATTATTTTAAATTAAAAAAAAAAAGCTTATTTTACTTGTAATTTCGCCACAAGCTTCATCATTTCATCCCACTCGTGAATCGAGATAAATTGAACTAAATTGAAAAGAAATATTACAGTGTACATTTGTCGATCAATCATTATATAAGTACATTTATTTACAATTTGATGACTAGTTACAAAAATACATAAATAATAATAATAATAATCATCCAAACATCCTCTTAGTCTTCTTCATCACTTTTTTTGAACCATATCCTAGTGTGAGTAATTATATACCTAATACTAAAAATTAAGACTATGATTATTATTTTCCACGTTTTGCCTTCAATATTTATCAGAATGCCTAGTGCAATTCCGATAATATTGTCGGCCAACCAAAAATCAACGGTGATCCTGAATAGTACAAGAATTGAAATTAAATTTATGGCACATGAAATGAACATAACTAGGGAATATACGGCCTTAAAATATTCCCCGAGTATAAGTGCAAGTACGGGGAATATCATCACACATAGCGCCTCGAGATCTCTGAGTATGCGAATCTTTACTTCGACATCTCGTATCGACTTGTACCCATACGAGAGCAAGAGCCCAACAAACACGAGCAGAAAATATATCGCAGCTCCAAAACACATGTGCATAACGAAAACAATACTGTAGTGGCCGAGGCTCGGGATTTTTATTTTGCTCGGAATTATGGGTTGCACGTATTTCGTGTGAAAGCCGGTGCGTAAAAACATTACCCAAGAAAGCATTACGCATAACAAATGCGTACTAATCCACAGCCACCTGCACCGGATGATTTTTAGTAGTACTTCTTAGCAGAATAGTATTAGCGGAAAATGACAGCAGCTGCCTGCCGTCTGCTTCTTCTTTTCACTTATTTTT